CGTAGGCAAACACGGGAGAGCTCGGGACCCATCTGATCGTCTTCGCGAGAACCAATCAACCGTCCCTGCTAAAAGAATACAAAAAACAGATTGGTTAATGGAATCGGTCAGTGCAAGATCGAATGAAAAATGGAAGCCACGTTGCACACCCAAACTGACCTTCGCCACCTCCCCCGATTGGAACCTCTCTCTTTGTTTCCTTCCCATAATTCCCTTGCTCTATAGCTCGGGCCCCATCTGATATTCTAGTCGAGGACCAAATCAACCACCGTAGCAAAAAGAAAACAAACCAGTTAAAGGAATCGAACAGTGCAGATTGATTGAAGAATGGCCGACACATGCACACCTCTCAACGCTAAGCACACCCAAACTGACCGTCAAACCATTCGCCACCTTCCCCGCTTGAAGCCTCCCTCTTTATTTCCTTTATAGCTCTCTCACCCCAAACAAAATATTTCATTCATCCACGAATTTTGATTACGAAATTGTTGATTTCTTCTCCTTTTTTTCGACTATGGAGACCGTAACTTTAACAGGATTACTGAAGAAAGCTGCTGCAGAGTTTCCCTTAAGGAGAGCTGTTTCGGTGGCCGGGAAATTTGATTTAACTCATGCCCGATTTCAACAACTCGTTGATCACGCTGCCTCTCTACTCATCGCCTCCGGGATTAATTCCGGTGACGTCGTCGCTCTTACTTTCCCGAACACCGTCGAGGTTCGTATACTTTCTTCATTTTGTTTTGTTTTATTAAGTGATGAAATAAAATTAGTTTTTTTTTTTTTATATTTTTCCATTTCTTTTTACAGTTTGTAATAATGTTTTTGGCTGTAATTCGTTGCCGAGCAACCGCCGCGCCGTTAAACCCATCTTACACGGCGGAGGAATTCGAGTTCTACCTTTACGATTCAGAATCCAAGCTTTTATTAGTCCCAGCCGAAGGCATCAAGCCGGCTCAAGCTGCCGCTTCCAAGCTCAACATCCCCCACGTGTCGGCTACTCTCCACCACGAAACTTCCAAAATCATTCTCTCCTCTAACCCCGAGTCAAATCTCGACTCAGTCAACACACTCGTAAATGACCCTGCTGACATCTCACTGTTCCTCCACACTTCCGGGACCACCAGCCGCCCCAAGGGTGTCTCTTTGACTCAGCTCAATCTAGCCACCTCTGTTTTGAACATTAAATCGGTTTACAAACTCACCGAGTCCGACTCCACAGTCATCGTGCTCCCCTTATTTCACGTGCATGGCCTGTTAGCTGGCTTTCTGAGTTCACTCATATCCGGGGCCGCCGTGACTCTACCCGCCGCAGGGAGATTCTCCGCGTCGACGTTTTGGACGGACATGATTAAATACAACGCCACGTGGTACACTGCTGTCCCTACTATACACCAGATCATATTGGACCGCCACGAGAGCAAGCCGGAACAGTCTTACCCCAAGCTGAGGTTTATCAGGAGCTGCAGCGCATCATTGGCGCCGAGTATTTTGGCTCGGTTGGAAGCGGCATTCGGCACACCGGTTCTCGAGGCTTACGCCATGACCGAGGCGTCTCATCTCATGGCGTCGAACCCGTTACCGGAATGCGGCCCGCATAAAGCCGGATCGGTCGGGAAACCCGTGGGTCAAGAAATGGCGATTCTGAACGAAAAAGGAGAGATTCAACCGGCCGATGCTAAAGGAGAGGTTTGCATCAGAGGATTGAACGTGACAAAGGGTTATAAGAACAATCCCGAGGCTAACAAAACGGCTTTTCTATTCGGTTGGTTCCACACCGGTGACGTCGGGTTTTTCGATTCCGATGGGTACTTGCATCTTGTGGGTCGGATCAAAGAGCTTATTAACCGTGGAGGTACGATTTAATGCTGAAAGACTCGTAATCTTTGATTGGTTTTTGTTCGGTTTATTCACTTTTCAATTTTTCAGGTGAGAAAATTTCTCCGATTGAGGTAGACGCAGTGCTACTGGCTCATCCCGATCTTGCACAAGCAGTTTCCTTTGGTGTTCCTGATGAGAAATACGGGGAAGAGGTAAAAGAAATCTTCTTTCATGCTAAAAAGAACAAACGAAACTCATTGTGCAAAAATATGAATTTTTTTTCCTGGATTGATGTTATGTTTTTGTCTCTAACACAGTGTTCTTCCTCTGCTGTGTCTTGTTCCAAATGAATAGATAAATTGTGCAGTGATTCCAAAGGAAGGAGTAAGCTTGAAAGAGGAAGAAGTCCTGCAGTATTGCAAGAAGAATCTTGCTAGTTTCAAGGTCCCAAAGAAGGTTTTCATCACCGATTTTGTGCCGAAAACCGCCACCGGCAAAATCCAGCGCAGGATCGTGGCAGAGCATTTCTTGGCTCAAATCTCAGCTGCCAAAGTTCCCAAATTTGGAGCTTGATTCATCATTATTTTGATTTATGAATACTTCTTTGGACCTTTGCATGGTGGCAAGGATCTGGTTATTATTTAATTCATATGTGCTTCCAATGCTTCATATGTTGTTTCATAGGCGAGCATTCAAGTTCATAGGTTCTTCCAATGTTGTATTTAATATAAATATTTGTTAAAGATTGTAATTTGAATTTTATTTAGTTAAATTGAAAAAAAAATATAATATGATTCTTGGTGAAGAAATAAATTAAAATAAAAAAATGAGGTTATGTAATACATGTCAAGGTACTTTAGTTTATTATTTAGTGTTTTATACACGTACAGTATTAGATATATATATCTATGGTTTTTAGGTTTTAAGACAGGGTTTGATACTTTTATATGACATGTTTATGGTCTACTGTGCGTTTCTCTATGTTTCTTTACAAAAGGATTTTTTTATATTTTAAAATCTGTATTATTTTTCTTTATTATTTCGCAGTCGATTATTTACTATTAACCATAATGATATTTTAATTTAATTTAATTATTATCTTACAGAATTCAAATTAAAATTGTTTTCATAAATTTCATATTACAATTATTAAATAAATTAAATTTAAGTATCATAATAATGGAAAAGCATTGACATATGAAGATTTTTTATCACCAAGTTTATATGAATAAGCCTCTGCAAAAATGTTACTTCATTGTAAACACAATGTGTTATTCCATATGAGTCAGCTCAAGTATAGAAATAGTTATGGATGGATAGATGGGTTGGATAGTATCAGTCGCATCCTGATAAATTTTAAATTTATTCTTAATCATAAACTTTGAACTAAGAGAAAATAAATGAATAAATATGAATAATTTGACTAACTGATTCAATGTGCTTATCTGTTACATATGTTAAAATTTTAATATAAAAAAATTGATGTACAAGTGACATTATTAGAAAAGATTTATTGGGAAAAAATCCACCATTGATATATGAAATAATTATCCTAAATATATAAACTTGGTCAGCATACAACCTTGCATCTCCGTTCTTCAATGGAAACAAGACCCTATTCTTAGTGTGTTAGCTAGAGATGAACCTTCGATTCCGTACCCTTGACAAGCGACGATTCATGTCATACACTTATGCTTCTTCCCTGTTTTCAACATTAACTAATTAAAGTAAGTTTGCATGCTATGGCCCTGAGTCAGATCAGTTCCCTATATCAATGCTTGGAGATGAAGCTCCAGAAACTCATCCTCTTGTCTTCCGCAAACCCTTTTCTATTTTTCTTTAAAAAAAATTGCCATTTTTATTCGCCATCTGCGCCTAAGATTTTCATCGGAGAAGAAGATGGCATTCAGTGGGACAACAGAGAAATGCACGTCTTGTGATAAGACTGTTCATTTCTACGATATGATATCTGCCAATGGAGCCCCTTATCACAAGACTTGCTTCAGATGCACTAAATGCAATGGACTTCTCGTGGTACGTATCTATATTTTACCCTTCATTCGATAATGGAACAACTCGATTAATACGATTATACTTTGAAGACGATGATCTGATGAGCTTTAGGCTTTGATGGTATGAAAATGGATGATCACGGTTCATTATGCTTTGAAACAGATGAGCACATATTGTGCAAGGGATGGAGTCCTTTACTGCAAGCCTCACTTTGAGCAAGTCTGCAAGGCGACCGGCACTTATACATCCAAAGGTGAGATTTAAATCAAGAAAATAGATAAATATATTTGTATTTAACATTCATCTCCGGTCGAAAATTCCGGCTAACCATGGTTTTTTTTAATGATTTTTCAGATAAACCTAAGCCAAATGGACTGGTAAACTCGGTTAAAACTTTGTATTATTTGCCAATGTGGATATAAATATTCATATTATTTTACTTATACAGCAAAGGGCTCCAAGCAAAGTTGCAGCCATGTTCTCTGGCACTCAAGATAAATGTGGAGTCTGCAAGAAAACTTGCTACCCGTTGGAGAAGGTCTGCTGTTTAGATTACTTTTTTTAAGTATTCGACATAAACTTAGACATGAATACAAAGATATGATCGGAGAAATTAATTGCAGGTGACCGTGGAAGGAGAAATATATCATAAGAACTGCTTCAGGTGTGCTCATGGAGGTTGCTTTCTTACAACATCGTCCTATGCTGCATTAGATGGCTTCCTCTACTGCAAGCACCATTTCTCCCAGTTGTTCAAGGAGAAGGGAAGTTACACTCACCTCACAAAAACAACTTCGATGAAGAAAACCGCAGACGGAGACAGAGATGAATCCGATCACGAAGCAGAGAGTGCCCAAACCGAGGCTCAAACGGCTGGGGAAGACCAATGATGGAAATACTTACAGACTTGAACCTTCATGGGAGATTGAGCTTTAAAATCTCATTATTGGGTGTTTGATCCTTGTTTTCTTATAATAAATAAACATATATGTTCTGAACTCTTTTGCGTGGAGATTTTAAGAGATTTTATTTTGATTTAAGCTTATATTTTTATTAATATCATTATAAATAGTATGAAATATACTGTTTGAAATTATAATTATATTTGTATTCAAAATTTCAAATAATAATAAATGAATAATTAAAAAATGTTACCCTCTATCAATAAATCATGTGCAATAGGCCTTCTTCTGCTGCCTAGGCTTCGGCTTGAAGGAAATGCCTTGCACTTGAGCAGCAGCTCTTCTCTTCGCTGTGTTCGTGGCAGGTTTCATTCCAATCTTCTGCAGATCTTTCTCGATATTGAGCATGTCTCGTGGCAATTCGATTGACCGGAGTAACCTTTTAATGTCGTCGTCCACCTCCATATTTACCCTAGGTTCGTTGGGGAAGACGGTTTCATCGTTAAAGTCGAAATCGGATAGATGCCAAATGTGATCGGCAGATTTCAAAGCCTACAAAATGAAAATTTCAAAACGATATGGAAACTTAAATATGACGGCTAAAGGTATATAAATATTGCAGCACATTTCTGCAAACGCTGCAAATTTTGTCATTTGTGAAGTTTTTTTTAATGCAAAGAATTAGCGACGTTTAGAGAGTAAATGCTGCTAAAAACCTGTTTTGATGTAGTGTTTCTTTAGCATAGTCTGGGGGTTATTAATTAGTATCTATTCAATGACAATACGTATCTGTTCAATGTGTTCAAAACGATATGGAAACTTAAATATGGATATAGGATTAAATAGATAGTGAAGGAAAATATCACCTTCACCTTCAAGTCTTCCATCGCATTCGGGTACGTATCCTTGAGATCTATAACAGCGATGCCTTGTATATATTCCCGAATCAAGACAAGAAGCTCATCCTTGTTCTTTACATCATGCTTAGCCTGCAAGAAGAACATATACAAAATTGCAATCCTTTAAACTAAGCAATGCTGGCAATGCCTGCCTATTACAAGTTTGGAGAATCGACCAAGTAATGTCACCTTGTAAGAGAAGCGCTTTCCATCGAAATTTACTTTAGGATTTTTCCTTAAACCCTCAAGAACATCTCTGTTGCCATTGACATCAACATAACATGCTTCATTGATCTGTTCTGGTGTGAATGCTTGCCTTGTATGCAACAATGAATACATATTGCAATTTCTCAAACAAAAGCAAATTTGATGCATATTGCATAACAGATTCATCGTCTGAGCCAGTAAAACAAGAGTTTACAGGGATACTTGCAAACAATAAAGATGATATACAAATGGGAACAAGGGATAATACTCTGATTATACAGATCAAACACAAAAAGATTAAATTAAAAAAGGTTATAAAAACCTGAAAAAGAATGTCAATTACACGCTTCATCTGAGCTCCAACAGTAGCATTCCTGATGCTGTTAATATGCTGAAGCCTCTTGGTATCATTGGGAAAGGGCGAGGCAGCAGCAGGTGCCGATCTCAGAGTTGCGGTGCTCATATTTGGTGCAGAAGACCTTTTCAATCTTGAGAACTATTTGAGAACGGGAGTCACAACCAGCAATGGAGAACTGGAGGTAAGGTTTTGATCGGAACGGAAAAGGAAGATGATAGCAGCGGCGGACGTAAGGTGAGGGTTTTGGGGGGAGGAAAAGAGGAGAAGGCTTTCTATGCAAGAAAAGAGGTAGAAATGTGCTTATCTAAAACGATTGTGAAACTTGTTGGCCAAGGTTGAGTACACGTGATCCAGTTTTCTCGCACACGATAATTGTTTTTATTTATTTTTCTCCTTTTTGCCATTTTCTCTCGTGATTCCTTGAAATGCAAGGGAAAATGGGTAAATCACACAGTCCTTGAACTTTTCCTGGGTTTAAATAAAAGCTATACTTTTTCTGAATATTTTAATTCGGTTTTCAAACTAGATGGTTATATTTTAGTTCTAATTTTGGAGCGTGACATGAATTCCACATGATTATTGAAATAAAGTTTAGTGAGTTAAGGGATGGGCATGTGATTTGATTTGATCTTATAGGATCAAACTTTTTTTAAAAAAAAATTAAATTAGGTTAGGTTGAGTTCGAGTTTAAAGTTAAAAATATATGATACGAACTCATTCCTTATATATTCAGAGTTAATTATAATAATAGATATATGCATTTTTTTCCAATTAGATACCTATTTTAGTAAAACAAAAATTATATAAAATTGTATCAAGTTGAATCATATTAAGTACGATTTTTTACATTAAAATTAGAATTTAATTTCCAATAGTGTAAAATCTTAAATTTAAATTGAATCGAGTAATAAATAAAAATAAAAATTTTAAATCAAATTCGAGTGGAATAAAGATTTAACCCGATTCAAATCATACCCATTCCCAACACGTAAACTACAAAGAGAATAATAGTATGATGCAGTTTTACAATTGGACAACTTTTGTCAAAACTATAATTAGACATAACAAATACTACACAATTTTAGAACTCTACGAAGCAGCCAACTAATCCATTATATATATATATATATATATATATAGTGGTGGTGTTGAGTGCCACCATCCACTATAAGAAACTTTTTTGAAATGGTCTCTCTACCTTATGCTTTTACCATTTCAAACATTGCATCAATGATTGATTTAAGATGATATGAAAAAAAGGATATTTATAAAAATAATAAATTGTATTAATATTATACTAAAAAATTAATAAGAAATTCTAAAATTTAAAAGAAGTGGTATCGTTCACTCTAATGGACACATATTTTTGTCTTGTAATAATAAGTATCATAATTAGTTAATTACCTCTTAAATAATCAATATTATTATTATGTGTTTCTTTTAAATACTAAGTCGCTTTAGTGCCAAAGCGAGTTGAAATATTATTATTATTATAGGGGGCATTGCAGGTAAGCAGATTGAGACTTTGTACTGAATCTGATAGATTAAAATATTACACGAGCAAGTTTGACATAAAAGATTCTTAAAAACTGAAGTCGGTCGACTTCTTTCCCTAATTAATATATTGTCGGTGAGATTAGTGTCGGATTATACACCAAATACTTTGCCTCCCTCGTGTCGGATTGTCGGCATGCTTACTGCAAATATGAACACTCTTTTCGTGGCTTACAGCCAATGCTTCAAAGTGTTGATTCCACTAATCTTTGTATTTCTTTATATAATTTTCAGCGTTGTTGAGCTTGTCTTATTTACACAAAAAGGGTAAAATATTTGCATTAATTAAGTGAAGAATGTCCAACGGTTAGGGACGACAGCACCCAGGACTGGTGTGTTTAGTAGCCTTCAATTTTTTGAACAACCTGACGGCCATCGGAGGCTGGACTTTTGGTTCACGGAGCATGTTTAACACATGAAAATTACAACAAAAATATGGTCGGACAAGACGAAAACTCTTACCGTTTACTGATGGTCATATTGTTATTGATTTTTTGATGCAATTCCATAATCAGCTGTAGCTGTAATAAAAATCAACTATATCAAAGCAAATATGATAATCAAAATATATTAAGATAAAATTCATAATACAGTATAATTTAAAATCCATATAAATATGGAGAGAACCAACAATATATTTAAGTTAAAATAAATTTGAACAAAAAATTATACATGCTTTGTAGGAGATAAAATTTGAATTTATATATCAATATTTTCGAAACTTAATCTAACTATTACATCATAGCCTCTTTGTCTAATACTAATCTAATTCTTAAAATATGTATTTAAGTGTTTAATAATATTCCACATCATCTTATTTTTATTTATTCTTGCGAATTCCTAACTGTGTAATAATATTTAAAATTTTAAAACATTTACTAGTACACCCTGTCATGCACTTTTATTTTGTAAGAGACAATAGCAAATTTGTTTAATGGTTGGGGACCCCTATCAAAGCATCTGTTGTAGTTTACCACTTTCATAGAACTTTCTTATACACAGATAATCACAACACACTATAAATAGAGCTTGCAGCAGCCAAACAAGACACCAACAACTAATCTACTCTTTCTGATCTCTAACTATTTGTTTCCTTCCCCAAGGATAAAACATTCCTTTTTTTGAAGATGGCTGCCATTTCAAAGATTGCAACAGGCAATGGTCATGCTGAAAACTCTCCTTATTTCGATGGGTGGAAAGCATACGAGGCCAACCCTTTTCATCCCGTCGATAGACCAGATGGTGTTATTCAGATGGGGCTAGCTGAGAATCAGGTACGTTGAAATCTCCATGGATTTTAGTTGTTTTCACTACAATTTATTTTCTTTGCTCCTCGTCTCTAATGGAAACCCCGTGTTGTTCTTGCTCTTTCAACCTTCAGCTTTGCTTTGATTTCATTGAAAAGTGGCTCATGGAACACCCGGAAGCTTCACTGTGTACTGCTGAAGGTGTAAACAAATTCAAGGAGGCGGCACTTTTCCAGGATTATCATGGCTTGCCTGAGTTCAGACAAGTATGGAAAATTTATAATTATTACAGTAACATAGATGTTAGTTTATAGACTGAATTAATCTGTATTACTTTTCCAACAGGCTGTTGCAAAATTTATGGGGAAAGTGAGGGGAGATAGAGTAAAATTCGATCCGAATCGGATTGTTATGAGCGGCGGAGCCAATGGTGCTCATGAAATGGTTGCCTTTTGTTTGGCTGATCCCGGTGAAGCATTTCTGATTCCTACTCCTTATTATCCAGGGTAATGCATTATTTCTTTTAATTCGAGTTGGAGTTTGGGTTTGAGTTTCGAGAAGTGATTTTCAATGGGGTTAAGGTTTAAATCTATTGCATTCCTTTGCAGATTTGATCGGGACTTGAGGTGGAGAACTGGTGTGGAACTTGTTCCTGTCGTTTGTGAGAGTGCCAATGATTTCAAGATCACCATTGATGCTTTGGAAGCTGCATATGAGAAAGCACAAGAAGCTAACCTCCGAGTCAAGGGTTTGCTCATAACGAATCCATCAAATCCATTGGGAACTTTCATGGACAAGGATACCTTAAAGAACATCATAAGCTTCATAAACAAAAAGAACATCCATTTGATAGGCGACGAGATATATGCCGCCACAGTTTTCACGGAGCCCGAGTTCGTCAGCATATCGGAAATCATCGAACAAGTCGAATGCAACCGTGATTTGATCCACATCGTTTACAGTCTCTCAAAGGACATGGGGTTCCCCGGATTCAGAATCGGCATCGTATATTCATACAATGACGCAGTGATGAACTGTGCCCGCAAAATGTCGAGCTTCGGGCTGGTGTCTTCTCAAACACAACACTTAATCGCCTCAATGCTATCGGACGATGAGTTCGTTGACGATTTCGTCGACGAAATGAAACAACGGTTGCTCAAAAGGCACAAGTATTTCACTTGGAGATTAGAACAAGTTGGTATCGGTTCATTGAAGAGCAATGCCGGGCTGTTTATCTGGATGGATTTGCGTAAGCTCTTGAAAGAGAAAACGTTCGAAGCCGAGATGGAACTGTGGCGAGTGATCATCAATGATGTTAAGCTCAATGTTTCGCCGGGATCTTCGTTCCACTGCTATGAACCGGGGTGGTTCAGGGTTTGCTTTGCTAACATGGATGATAACTCCATGGAAGTTGCTTTGTCTAGGATCAGAAACTTCATGATCAAGAACAACGAGACCGTGATTCCACATCGGAACAAATTATGGAGGCGAACCAGCCTTAAGCTCAGCTTATCTCGAAGAATGGACGATTTCATCATGTCGCCGAGCATCTTGTCTCCTCACTCTCCTTTACCTCAGTCGCCGCTCGTCCGAGCCCGGACTTAAATCGGAGGTACAACTGAATCCGAACGGACCCTTTCATATATATACACTAGGCTTTAGATATCACCATTCTTTCCCATGGAGATAACCCATACAAGAGGGACCTATGAATTAATGTGCAAAACAAAGGATTGTTTCTTGAATATCTTTTTACATTAGCAAGTATGCATTTTGTTGATATTAATATAACATTTATACTTTTTGTATTTATTAAATATACTGTTTTTTAATAATAATTTTACGTAATTTTAATCAATTTAAACCTTAAAATTTAATGATTATAATCCAATCATCTATAAACTCTAAGAACATGATATAAAATGACAATACAATCAGTAAGAGAACCACATTAAAAAGTGTGGGTCAAATAACCCCACAAAAAATTTGAAAATTTACTTTTCATATAAATAATTTATATAATTTCGACCCACAAAGCTTTTAAAAATGTTTTAAAGAAATTAACTAAAAAAATCAATCATCTCCTCACCCCTAAATATCACAAAACATCAAAATCATATAAATAACTTATATTTGTATGAAATGTATGAAATTAATAAACTCGTTAGCAGAAAAAAAGTTATTATATAGAACATTAATTTTTAAGGGTTTTTTTTTCTTCTTTATCTCATCTTCCTCTTCCTCTTTGATCTTTATTTAACCGGCAATGATATTAATCTTAATATTGGTTGACGATCACCAATGAATAATGATTATTATTTTTCTTCATATTATGTCCTTTTTCTTTTTTTTCCTAAGTTTTTTTTTTAATTTTAAATAAAAATCTTTGTTCTAGTGACACGTTTTTCTATGATCTTGTAACACGTTTATATTTCTTGTAGCTTTTTGTACATTTTTCGCATACCTTTGCAGTCGTGTTAGTGTTTGCACAAAAACTCTCACGACATTTGTTTTCTGATTGGTTTGTCGGTGATTACGTATTGTCATATCCTATCTTTGATAAAATATTTTTTGTCGATATAATCAGATTTGTGTACTAAAGTAGCCTGCCAAATTGTTTGGTTCGCTCACTACTTCTTTATCACTCGTAAAACGTCTCATTCGACATAAAACAGAGTTTTATGAATGTTAATGAGTTTTTTTTACATTCTCAATAAATGTTTTCTTTTTCTTCCTATATTTGAGTTTAATGTTTTTTGTATATGAGTTTTTTTTATTGTTCTCATTTTTCTCTCAATGTTTGGGTGCTAAGTTTAATTCATTCTATTTTTTTTATTAATGGAATACAATTACCATTATTAAAAAAACAGGTTAATATAGGAAATTGAGTATGAGAAAAATATTTGTGTGATATCAATAAATTATATCTTATATTATTTTTTGCATATAAATAACTATAATTAATTGCATCATAGTCGATTTTAACAAATCTTAATGGTCCTACACCGTTCTAATTCTAATATAATGCGGCATCGTTTCGATATTAATCAATTAAACAAAAGACCATCGAGAAGATATAATAAATAAGCAAAACAATCACCTTTAGAATAAAATATTTTTAACAAATCATAGGAACCTAAATATTAAAAAAATAAAATAAATTTAATAATATTTTATTCATAATTATTAGAAAATCTTGAGTTTTCTCTATACAATAAAAGTTAGGTTATCAATGATGAATTAATTTAACACGATAAAATGTTAGGTTCATTAAATAAGATTCGATTAAGATGATAATTCCTATAATATATCTATGTAATATTTGATCTAAATTATAAATATAGTCTAGAAATAGAATTTTCAATCCCTTACAAGAGAGAATTTTCATGGCTGGTAGTTTTAATTGACCATTACTTCTTTACGAGGTTAAATGAATATTAATTTATAACATTAGTTGTTACTATACTGATTTGATAAGTATTTGATTTTTTCTTATTTCTTAATAATTTAATTCAATCATATAATTTGAACAACTATCAACTATGAAATGAACAAATATATAGGTGACAAAGTGAAACATTTGTTAATAAATAAAATTAAGTAAAAGAGTCATTTTCATGATAAAATTTTATAACATTTAATTTTGATTAATCGACTAATATTTTGTATAAAAAACAATAAAACGAAATATATATAAAAAATAAAATATTACTAAAAAACTGATTTATATATAAAAAAATCCATAAATTTCAAAAGATTTCTAGAAATTGTTTGTTTGTTCGTCGTTTTATATCAACTTTTCCCTTAAAAAAAATTCAAACCAACGTGGCTTTGTGTTGAATAGAAATATGATATTATCCAGATAACAGTTGAAAATTGCATTGCTTGGGATAAAAGAATTCAGCGAGTAAAAACTAAAAATATATGTATTTAACCCATATATATATATATATATTAAAATTTTGGAAAATTATGTATTGTGTAAACAAAAATTTAATTAATTATATCTATTTTTATATAATAATATCTCATTTAAGGTTTAATTATATGATTTTAGTATTTGACTGCATATTCAACATAACAATCTTACTCCCAACTCTTTATATACGTCCAAACCTATACCTCTATTTCATACAACAAAACACAAAGAAATCAAAAGCTTTTCACATGGCTTATTGTACTTCAGTGGCGTCTTCATTTGCCTACTCTCAGCTTCTTCTACTAATGATATTTATCCCTATACACAATCTTCTTGTTTGCCTTCGTAAATCTATCTCCACTCTCTTTCTTCTTCTGGGTCTCTCGCATTTTATCGAACCCGACATTCCTTACCGCCACGTGACGGAAGCCGGTGTTTCCTCCTCTTCTTCTCCCACTGCGCCCTATTATGATGTCCCGCTCTTGGTTCACCTCTTCGGGGAAATTTTACCTGTCGTTAAGTTTTGTGACCTTGTCGATCCGCCGGGAAGCTGCGTCGTTTGTTTCTATGACTTTGAAGGGGAGGATGAGATTCGACGGCTGGCGAATTGTCGACATGTATTCCATCGGAGCTGCTTGGACCGTTGGATGGGAGACGATAATAAAACATGTCCACTTTGTAGAAGGAGTTTTATTCCCCATGACATGCAAGATACCTATAATGAGAGTCTTTGGTATTGGTCTGCTACGGGTAAGCATTGATTCATTGATGATTATTGTATATTTAAAATTCAAATTGAAAAACTTTCATTTCAGTCATTGTTATTAGGCTTCAATATACAAAAGATGTCCAACGTATGTCCGTTTTTCCAGGTTAGTGTCTAACGTTTTTTTGTTCCAGTTTGGTACTTAACGTTTCATTTCGTTACTCAAAATAGGTCACGTCGTGACAGACCGTTAGTTTTCTTCGTTAAATGACACATGTCACAATATGATAATTTTAAAAAATATATTTAAAATTTAAAAAAATAAAATTATATATTTTTTAAAAAAGAAAACACAAATATTTTGAAATAACCCCAAAACTTTGAAAACATTAATTTCAACCCATTAACCTTTAACCCCATCACCGAACCACCCTTCTCCGACCGGTGGTGGTGTACACCGCCGCTCCCATCGAACTCAGCAGCAACCGACGACCTTAACCCGGACTTCAGAGCACCCAAAATCGGTCACCGTCGAGCTTAATGACAAGGAAACCATTCGGTCGCCCACCTCCAACCTCGGCCACCGCTCGTCGGGAGTCATCACCGCCTAGCCCAGTGGAAGCGCCGTCCCGGGCCGGTCATAGCCCATTCATCCACTCGCCTCCAGTCGTCGCCGTTCGTGGAGGAGTGGCGTTTGAAAGCCCGACGAAAAGTCGCCATCACCGTTCGATTTTTGCAATTTTCGGCCGAAATCGCCGCCTCACCGCCACCGAAGCTGAGCTTGCTGGCCTGTCCGACCAAAACCCAACCGATTTGGTAAGTCACTATCGTCGAGAAAACGAACTTGGAAGAGTGGTGGCCGAACAGTTTAGGGGTTATGGGTTGAAATGAAGGTTTTTAAAGTTTTGGGGTTATCAAAAATTTTGTGTTTTCTTTTTTAAAAAATATATACTTTTTTAATTTTAAATAATTTTTTTAAATTATCATATTGTGACATGTGTCACTTAACGGAGAAAACTAATGGTCCGTCACAGCGTGACCCATTTTAAGTAACGAAAAACAAAAAAAACATTTGACACTAAACTGAAAAAATGAACATACGTTGGGCACATTTTGAATATTTAAGCCTTGTTATTAAAGAATATTTTTACTTCAGACACTTCATCAGTAAATGATTAACGACATCTGAGCGAACCCCTTTGTGAGGAGGCAACCCTTCACTCAAAGTTACGGACTATTTTGTCGAGTTCCTTATAAAGAGTTGTCTCACGTTCATAGATATTCTCTACTTATTCATTTGAGTGAATTTCGGGTACAAATACCCTTTTATTGAACCTCGTCTGAGCTTTCGTTTACGGAGTTGCATGGGTTACATAAACGTCATAGCGTCTGGTACTTCAATATTGGCTTGGGGCATTTTGTTTATCCTTTCTTATCCTGAAAAAAAAAACAGGAGTACCTTAGTCACTTTAGGTGAAAGCACAAGCATTAGGTTGGCCAAGAGTGGAGGACTACTTCAGGATTCTCATGGCAGTTGAATTCTCAAAGCTTAGAAGAGTGTTCAGTGTTAATGACAGAGTTATGGGTTGTTTACGATATTACGCAGTATGCTTGGCGCTTGAGGTTGGCAAAGGTTGAATTAGAATCCGATAATATTGAAGTTATCCGCATATTACACAAGTAAAGCAATGTGATGCGAGGGAACGCCATTTTTGAGGAAGTTTATATGTTATTGCAGTTTGATTGGGAGGTGAAAATTGCACATCTCCAACGTCAACGTAATGGAGCTGTTGATATGTCGTTGGCACATCTTAACTGTGGTAAGCAAGTAGTCGAAACCCTTTTCATTGTTCTTCCAAGGCAAATGAAAGTATTACTCAATCAAAAAAGCTCTCGCTGCTTTATAATAACCGATCTGATCTGTATTACTAAAAAATATATTAATTTTATTTAAATTATTTATAATTTATGTTATAAAACTAAAAGATTAACGAGGAAGACGAATAAAAATTAATAATAACAAAAATATTAATTGTAACATAAAATGTAAGATGTTAAAAATATATACTTTTAATATAAATGACAAAGTACACAAATAGTCTCCGACTATAGAATATTGTTTTGTGAAGTCCTCAACTATTAAAAGTTATAAAATGGTCGCCCGACTATTCATTATATTCCAACTTGTCCTTTTCCGTTTAAAAATTAATGACAGTATAAGTTGGACGTTAACATACTGATTGAGATATGATAAAATATGATCACATAATCTCAAACGACTATTATATCTCAGTCAGCATGTTAACATCCAGCTCAGACGATCGTTAATTTTTAACGAAAAAGAACGATTTTGGAACATAATGAATAGTCGGGTGATTATTTTATAACTTTTAATAGTCAAGGGACTCAACAAAATAATTCTCTATAATCAGGAGACTATTTTGTAAATTTTAATAGTTGTTAGACTCAACAAAATAGTATTTTATAGTTGAGGTACCATTTGGATACTTTACCCTAATATAAATTATAATAACTTTAATTAAGATAATTTTCTTTCGATTTTGGTGCTCACACTCTAAATGATCTAAAATTTTATATTTTTCATTAATTTAGAGTAAATATAAGGTAATATTTATACATGAATAACTTAAAAATTTAATAATTATTACAAATATTATCTTTATTTTTTAATATAAATAAATTTTTCGATATTTGAGTAGAAAATTTTGATTTTTATCACCGCACCACAAAGTCGTTTAATTTTTTTAAGAAAAAGAAAAAGAATTTTGTTTATTTATCTTAGTGATGAATTTTATAAATGAATGGTGCTTATTTTTAAACTTTTTAAGAAAAAAAACTTTTATGAAAAATACAAGCCCTACGGTGTAAAAGTATATATGTAATTTAATTGATTGTGGAATTATCAATAAAAGCGACCGAAAAACATCGTTTTATCACAGTCGCTGCTTCTATTTTCAATCGCGGACCTTCCCACCGCCTGAAAATTTGATAAAACTCAATATCGATGATGCTCGTCGTGTAGTGAATGGGCACGCTTCTTGTGGTGGAGTGGAATGGGATAATCTTGGTAGGCCCGTAAACTCAATACGAACGGAGCATGTTGATATTCATTTATTTAACTTTAATTGAACAAATGAGTAAACATAAACATAAACGAATAAAAAAATTATTGTTTATGTTTGTTCGTTAAGGAATGTAGTTCGTTCGTGTTCGTTTATTTAAATGATAAACGAACACAAATGAACAAATATAAACGAACGGATGTAAACGAACATAAATGAACACAATAAACGTACGTTAACAAACACAATAAATGGACATAAACGAATATAAATGAAAATATTTTTTTTTCTTTCCTAACAATTTTAGGATTATATTTTATTTAATTGTTTTGAGCTTTTTTTATTTGTATTTAAAATTAATTGAATTTTAAAATATTTATGGGTATCAGATTAAAATTTATTGGGCTTTAATATTTTAAATGGATCTAGAGAGATTGTGCTAAACATAAATAAACGCATATAAACAAGCATAAACGAACGAACATAAATGAACATAAATGAATGAACATAAACGAACATAAATGAACAAACATAAATAAACGAACATAAAAAACATATTATCGAAATATTCACGAACATAAATGAACGAACGAGCCATTTGTTCATGTTCGTTCATTTAATTAAACGAACACAAAATCTTGTTCATGTTTGTTTGTTTAATAAATAAACTAACATAAACAAACTTCTCATCGAACGGTTCGTTGAACGTTCGGTTCATTTACAGGACTAAATCTTGATTTATGAAAATTTGGTTTTACTAGGTCTGTTGATGTTTGCTCAATTCTTGAAGCTGAGGACTTTTATTAGCTTGGGATGCTGGTTTTCGTCAAATAAAACTCGAGATTGACAGTTTGGAAGCTCTCCGAATCCTTCGCAGTGAATCCAACATAATGCCCTTAAATAAGTTGGCATCTGGTGGATCTTCGGAAACGCAACTGCGTTGTTAAAATTCAACATATTCGTAGCCAAGGTAACAAAGTGGTAGACACGCTTGCTAAACCTTCATTTGGTGTTAGTTTGGAGCCCACTGTTCTTTTTATTCCTCATTCTCTGGTTCGTTCTTTATTACATGAAGATGTCAATGGGTTATAAGATTTTGGGGATGTTTGGTTTTGCAGCCATGGTTGTTTTTGTTCAACTTTTGATTTTGCTTATTATCACACGTACTATTTTTGGGGATTTTTTAATGAGATACAATAATATATTCCTTGTATGATTAACTTCAATGAATTCATACTATTTCACCGGAAAAAAATTAATTGACTGTTATTTCTAAGTCTAATTTTTGAATTGTTAAAGACTTTTATTTCTTATTCTAAGTTTTGACTTTTATAAATCTAAAGTATTTATCTTTAAATTTGAAAAGAATGTACACAAGTAAGATCCTTTTCGAAAGAACTTTCATAAATAATAGTCTAATATACTTAAACGTTTTGACAAAATAATTTTCAAAATAACAAAAATCACCGGTAACCGGTATATTTATCGATCTATAATCGGTCAAATTATATTTCTCGATCTAACACCCTTTGCAGTAAGGCGCGCCCCCTGTGGCGCGCCCCCTGCAGCGCGCTATACGCTAATTTAGCGTCACGTGGGGTAAGGCGCGCCTTATGCTGACATGGATTACACGTGGGTATAGTGAGGGTAGGATGGTAATTAAGGGTATAACGCACCGCAGGGGCTGCGCCTTACTCGTGATTCTGACACACGTCAGAAAGGCGCGGCCCCTGCGGCACGCTATACCCTTAATTACCATCCTACCCCCGCCCGTTCACACCCATCCCTCCCTATAAATACCCCCATTCTCAATCACTTTCATCACACAAAATCCTCTCAACTTCTCTCAAATACTCTTATATTCTCTTATTAAGGTATATTTTATTATATTTAGTATTTTTTAATAATTTATTTAATTATTTTAATTGTTTAATATTTTATTTAATTAATTTTTTTTGCAGATATAAAATGGA